CTTTGATATTGACAGAGAGAAAGAGTTGCAAAACTCAGATGAAAAAGTATTTTCTTAAATTAAATTTCCTCATTATTAAGGACTATAGATTTGTACTAAAAATGTACCATCATATTTATTGTTAAGATAATGCTCTTCAGAAAATCCAAAACTAGTAACAACCCCCATCCGCAAAAGAGATTTCTTCTCTCTTTAAAGAAACCAATCTGGATTCATTATACATAACTTACACTTTGTGGAAAAAAAAAAGACAGGGTGATGCACAGAGATTAAATATAAATATTTCATCTCATTTTACTTTTGAATCATAGAATAAATTTTCAGTGAAATGGCAATACTGCAGCTTTATAAATACAAAATGATATTAATATATTACAGTATATGTGTCGAGGCACACATTTAATAATCCTCCCAAACCTATCCTTCAGGCAAAACAAAGAATTTAAAAAACATAATGTATTAGGCACACTTGAGACACTTCCTAAACAGGGGCTTGAAAAGATGAAAATGTGCTATTCCAGTTTGCGCGAATGGCTCACATCATGGCATGATGCAGAATTAATTCTGTACACAGTAGGCTCATTTTAGTACTCAGCAAAACATAGCAAATCCTAAATTTCATAGTGTTAAAGCAAGAAGTAGGATATAATGGGAATTAAAAAAAAAAAATCCCACCCACTTGTGTTTTGTACGTTGGATTTCATCTAGCAGACTTAGTTAACTGCAATATATTAGTCAAATCACATGGACAGAAATATAAAATACTTACCTGTTTTAGGGTCAACAGAGAAATATGGCTGTCCCTGAAGAATACTGTAAACTACTCTGGCGCTGTTTCCATATGTAGGGTCATCTGCATCTGTGGCTGTCACCTGCAGAACAGAGGTACCTGTATATACAGGAAAATAAAAGTTCATTGATAATAATTTTTTGACAAATATTGACATTTCTGGAGGCATTTTTGAAACCTCTACATTCCTCACAGTCTAACTAAGCGATTTATAACATTTTCTATATATGTTATTAGTCTAGCATATTTTTATGAAAAAATATTTATACCCATTTGAAAAAAACATTTTTATCTCTATGTATGTATATGTAACTTAATTACATAGATATTAACAAAAATACTACCTACACAGCATGCATATTTATGCATGTTTACACATATAGACTCAAAACATGGATATTGCTTAGATTTCTGAACAACTCATATTTATATACTTCAGGATTATCTTCATCGACAATACCAATTGATGTTGAAGTGCATATTTAAAATAATTTGCATAAATGCCCCCAAATCAATAAAAGATAGCAAGGGAATACAAAAATCTAACTATTGGAAGGCATCAAAGATCTGAAAATGAAATAATTACTAGAACCTTGCTGGAATTCCAATGAAGGATCCAAATTAGAAAGACTAGGAGTTCAAAAGACAAATATTTGTATGCTGTTAATAAATACCATAAGAAAAAAAAAATCACAGTTTCTAGCATGTCGCTAAGTGGGATAACTTATGAGTAACACTTTGCAGAAAACAAAATGCATTAAGTACTGCCCCTTCAGCACAGAGACAAGTGATTTTACATTTTACTGTATTTTTCAAGACATTTAATGACCAATCTTTTTTGCTATCACTGCCCAACACTTCACATAAGAAATCAGTAAATGAAAGATTGGCAAGTTAATAAAGGTTCACTGTTCATCCCACTTGTTTATCTTTCCACAGACACTACTTTCTACATATTCTTTTGTCCCAGTATTAAAATACAGGAATAATAATGACTGAACAGGCTGTTCTCATGTAATTCTGCATCTGAAAGTGGCTTCTCAGTTAAATTAACCACTGAGGCATCACCTCCACTCTGGGGTGTTCAATTTCACATTTTAGTTGCTAGAAGTATGCTTTTGAATTGAATCCCTTGGTCTCCCTCACTTATCATACTTTGATTTGCCTCATGGAACAGTTTCAGAGCACACTAACTACATTCCTTTGGATTAAACTAAACCAGAAGATGTGCTTTAGCAGCACATCTGATTTAGTCTGTCTGCTAATGGGCATTTAGTCTCAGAGACCAATCGAAAGCTAGTCTGAAATAAGACTTCCCAAAAACACGTGTGGACATCAGATCCAGCCTTTCAATTTCATAGATCAGTTTCCATTGCACAGGACTGCCTGTTAATGTGCACATCGTCAGTATACACTGGGAACAGAAATACATAAAATCATGAGGTTTCACTTCAAGTACAGCAAAGCAAGCATGCAAATCTTTGCAGATTTGGAATTTCCACTGTTCGAGAAAGTACTCATTCATTTGTATCATACTAACTTGGACACCGAAACTTGCTTTTTGTATCTCTACTGGAGATTTAGTAAAACAAGCCAAAATGTGCTTGGGTAAATATGCAAACGTTTCTGCATACTTAAATACAGTGTCTTGCGGTCTGTGAATAGCCCAAATACATACAGTCTCATAGAGAAATATATTTACACAGCAGATATAAGGATACCTTGATGAATTTGAAGTGAAATATTGTAATAAAATCAAGCTGGAGCTAGTAGTCTGCTCACAGTTATTCAGGAGCTAATGGTAAAACTGACTAAATTACGGTATTTGGGGTTATGTGGCAAGATAAACAACTATGAACTAAAGTTAGTGTAATTTCCTTAAAATGTTCTAGGAATCTATTCAGTCTTATTTATTTGTTATCTAAACTTAGAATAAGAGTTTCTGAAAACCACATCAAGTCACTTCAAAGAACAGAAAATGCATTTTTTCCCCTATTCTATACCTTATGTAAACAGTGTAATGATACATTTCTGTAACCCAATTTGGCAACAATTTCAAACTTGAGGCAGAAAAGTTGTGACCTTTCCTTCTTCTAATTAAGCTTGTCTTATTCAAGGGCGAAGTCTTGTCTACACTAATTTGTTGTTTTACCTTTATTCGTGGCTTCACTATTTTATGCTGGAATCTTGTGGAATTATTAAAGATTAATAAATTTCTGATATACATTGATTTTATTCTTTTTAATTGCATACAACAAAAACATGCCCATCCAATAGATACAGGTAGTCATCTACAAGAGTTTGCTGCCTAGAGTGCTGGGCAACTTCTGTACCTTTTTTATCTATAAAATAGGTATCCTTGTATCCTTATATCTTTTCTCCCAGGACAACAGTTACCAACAGTAGGTTTTGGAATGGATGGATAGATTTTGACTATTTCAGAAGAAGAAAATACCGGAAATACTGAGAATTTGTGGTACTCCCATTCTTCAGAGACTTTCTTCTCTTCTTATTTTAAGAGTCAGAGGACAGAATCTGAGTGTTTGCATTGCTCATTCATGTGGGACAAAGAAACAGGGCTTGTGAAAGGTGGTATCTCACATAAGCAGCTGACAGGTTATTTTAGCATGAATGGAGTGCTATTGTACCTTAAAATCCACCGCAGTCATTTTGTAATACATCTGTATCTCTCTCCGAGAAACACCTGGTAATAGTAATTAGGTATTGAATAGTGGCAACGTGTTCTCTTTCCATCTAAAAGAATGACTAGAATCACAAGTTTTAACTCAGCCCCCCACCCCACATCTCAAACTCTCATTCAGTGCAACGTAGCTCATCAGATGCTCAACTTTTTCACTTGATTACGCAAGCACACTTGGCATCTTATAAGATACTGGCCTTTTGCCTAATTCTAGTCTGATTTGCTGAGCACAGAGGAAAGGCAGTTTGTGAAAGCTGCAAGTTAGAATGTCTTGCGAGAAAAAAGGTAAAGAGGCTACTCTTACCTTCCAACTACTCTGTTCAAAGTTAGCATCATTCAGCTCATTGACATGACAGACAAATCACGATTCCAAATATATTTGTACCATTTAGATGCAGCATCAGTTTTTGCTGTTGAGCTATGTGTAATGAAGGATTTAGATAGAAAAGTGCACAGCACAGCTGCCTTGTTATATGTAATGTTAACAGTTCCGAAAAAAATAATCTCATACAAAAAATAAGGATCTAATTTCCCTAGAGACCTCAGAACAGATATGAACATCAAACCCATACTTTCCTCACTAACCTACTGTGAAACTGCCTGTCAAGGAAAACTCAAAATTTTGCTATGAAAGCAATTTTGACACTGCAGTTAGGCAATAATCTTTTTTCCCTAAAGTGAAGGTTCTGCTTATTCAGAGTACAACCACCATTCCACATGATTTCTCACTACAGTTTAGAGATTACATATTGGGAGTTCTGTTTTCTAAGCTAAGACTTTATACAGAACTGTAAAATAAGTCTATATGCTCTGAACACTGCTCTGTAAGCTTTGCCTTTTTTCTGTTACCAAAAATAAGGATCATTTCATTTGTGAAATCAAATAGTAGTCTTATTCAAAATCTCTTCTTTTGTTTTTCTCTTTTTAAAAATATGTTTATAATAAAATTTTTTAAAAGTTATATATCAAAGAAAAGCTGAAGGGAAATACTTCAATTTGTCTCTCTGAAGACAGATTTTTAATGTTTAATGAGGCAGTTCAATAAAACATGTCTGTTGAGAATGCAGATCTGTATGCATGACTTTTTATAGTTTGCTGCACTGTTAAAATCTCAAATGGATCAATATTGAATAAAAGTAAAAGAAGAGAAAATAAGGTGAAGTTAATGAACACAGGGATTTCCTGCCTCATTAAACTAATTCTCAAAATTGTCTTAAAACATTTAAGGAGTCAACACAACATGTTTTAGTTTCAGCCTACACTAGAAAACAGTGATTTCACCAGGAAACCAACACTTCAAGTCCAGTGACTATATTACTGATCCAAGTCCTCACTGAAGAAAATCTCAATATTTTCTTGTCAGCTGTCTTCATTAGAAGATAAAATTCAAACAACACAGGAAGATATATAGACACATCTCATACAAATCATATTTATGAACAATATGAATACTGTCTTCCAGATTATCTGAAATTATTACTACCTTACATTATAATACCCTGTAAAGAAGTTCAGAAAAGTCCAGTGTGTCTATTAATTTCCTAAATAGATTTTTTGGGGAATACTGTTCTTATGCATGACCTGAACACCAGAAAATTTAATATGCAATATTTCACTCATTTTGAAGATATCCGAAAATGAGCAGATATGGAAGGCTTTTACTGATTGAAAATATTTTTATTGCCTTTAACATTTAGATAATGATGACTCTCTCATAAACCTTAAAACAGAGCATGCTTACAGCTCTCAATGGGACTGAGTTTTTTACACTGCAGAAGAAATCATTTCAGATACAGACCTTGGTTCTTGAGCCAACTTTTAGGAAAAAGGTTCAATGAAGGGAAGGTATAGGTGTTTTCTTTCTCTCTGCGTAGTACATAAAGCACAAATAGTATGTTCACTTTGTGCCACAGAGAACACGGTGATCTAATATTTGGCAAATAATTTAACAAAACTTACCTCTACTTAATTGATGGTGGCCTAAATAAAGGAAAAGTCATAAAGGTCGTACAGTTTTTACAAGTTTACCAAGAAAGGTTAAATTTGTGGGAAAAATACCAGCTAACTTCTTGAGAAGACAGACAGGAAACTGCTGTTGAAACTAGAGTAATGGAGATCAAAAATCCCCCCTGCCACTCAGCACGATGGATGTTAGAAAGAGACAGTAACTCTGAAAGTTCTTTAAATGACCACATAAAAAAGTGGAAGAAATTTTTAAGGTAGTGAAGCATCCTTAGGAATTCATGAAATAACAAGAAGAAGTTCAGTTATGTATAGACTCTACAGCTAAACGTAAAAAAATATGCTAATTGCAGAACTAATAAAAATGGCATAAGGTTCTCCGTTATTTGACAGAAAGAATATATCCTGTGGAAGCAATGATAGAATTAGTCTTCCTGAGACTGCAGACAATAAAACGCTTTCAGTATGCAATAAACATAAATAAATCAATAAGAAAAAAAGAAAATAAAAGAAAAAAAGAAAATAATGATCATAAATTTGCAATGGAAATACAATGTATGCTTACATACATCCTGTATGGCAGGATATGAAAATCCAGTTGTATTCACACAACAAGAAAGCTCTGTGGAACAGATATTTTAATGATTTACCTCAGGTAAATAATTTATAACCAGTAAAGTATTTCATTTACAAAACATATGCATTAGTGCTTTGTTTTATCACTAAAACATCCTTGGTTTACCATAAATCACTCTGGTTTATAATCCACAATGCCATCCCAGACTAAATATCTGAATTGTTCTTTGGAAAACAGTAATTTGCATAATGTGGCTGTACAGTAATATCAAGATTTAGACTACTACAGAATCATGACTACCATTTGTACAAGAATACTACATTTTGAGAGCATAAAAAAACCCAGAGAACTTTTATAAATAGAAGAAACAAATAAAAAATAATTAGATGAGCTGCTTTTGACTTTGAGGATAACATTGATTTCCTTTCCACTGTCTTTCCTCCCATGCAGAAAATAAAAGGCTTCCACAGTGGAAGGAAATAATATATTAATTAAAATGGTCTCCATTAAAGGCAAAGGAAACTGAAGAAAGAGGAAGATGGAGTTACGCATTTTTAGAGACAATCGATAAAACAAACTAATTTCACATCAGACAGTCTGTGGTATGACGAGAGATATGAGCTTAGATGCTACTGAAACAAACTGCAACTCTTAACAGTAAAGCTTTGTGCCACAGTGAATTGTCAAAGAGAAGTGATTTCATATAGGCTCACAATATTCTTTCTAGGAGCTCTACTCCCTCACTATAGTACTTCCCACAGAAGTGCATCGCTTAAATAGTCCTGGTGTTATGACATTACTCACAGAAATACTGCCCTTCTGTACTTCCATAACTTTCTTGTGGGAATGATATTTGTGATAGTATGCTCAGATAGTCAAAACAGGGAATTTTGCATTAAAACCATTTCCTGTTATATGCACTAACATCACTGTGTAGATGGAATGGAGACCTACATGTTTATAATTCTGAGAAGTAACAGATGAGATCAAGGAAGTCAGTATTTAAGAGGAATCAATTGTTTAAGAGAACAACAAGCAATTTGTAAATTATTTTAAGGAATTAAAATATATTTGATCTATAATTTGAAAATCTTGATTAGCTAGATACTGACCAAACAAGAATGACTGATAAAGATTGTTCTTCTGGTAGAGACCCAGAAGAGGTTATTAGATATAATAATGTTAATAAATAATGATAATAGAATGTGGGAGGGGCAGGAAATAGAAATTAAAAGCAAAGATGAGGTAGCAATTCCCAGTTAGAGGGAAACAGACTGTGAAAAGAAGAAAATTCATAAAAGGGAAGTTGAAGGGTAATACGGGAACAATGACCTCTGAAAGAAGAAGAGCAAAGGAAATAAAAAGAGACCAAAGAAATATGTTTCTCCCTTCATGCATTCTTGTCACAAGAAGGACCACAGGACACAAAGGCTTAGAGTTCTCCACGGCTGGAAAGAGACATCTGAAATAGCACACTGTGGGAGGACTTGGAAGAGAGGAGAGCACTGGAAAGGGAGAAAGGTACTACAAGTACTTATGAAGAATGAACTACTAGAACAAGACAATTTTGATGCAGACAGGTAGATTTTTTTTTTTTTTTTTTCAGAACATCACGTACGGAGGACATTTTGAGGAGAAAATCAAGGAACTATTCTTACGTGTCAGTGTACTGGCAGTGGCAGTGAGAAGAAGAATGAACAGGCAGTAATAAAGTCAGGGGAAGAAAAAGAGAATGGGGGAAAATTTTGACATCCTTTTAAAACATGACATTTGGTAAGCGTGAGAGTCCATTTTATACAATTTGATTTTCCATAATAGATTGGAAAGAATACTCTACTTTATACAAAATTAACCCCACTTAGGTTGAAGAAGAAGCCACTGGTATAAAACTGTCACAACTCTGAACTCCATGGTTCAGGAATAAGATTTAATATATTTCAGTATTTCCAGGACTGGTATGATTACCACACATTTGCAAATACTTCATATGCCACACTTCATTTGTACAGGTAAAAAAAGAAATGTAGATGTGTTTGGAATGCACTATTGTTGCAATGCCTACCTGTAATACATGAAGTATTTGAAACTATATGCAGTACAAACAGTATGCAGACTTCCACAAGCATATTAAACTTCCCTCATTAGACAACCACAGATGTCTGAACTCAGTGTAATAATGTCAGGTGGTACTACAGAAAATGAACCAAATGCAGATTCCCAGTTTAAAATGAATTTTACCTATCTACACTAGGGAAGTTGTACAAGGTACCCTCCCATCCAAAATAATCATATGAAAAAATATGGTATCTGACTTTCAAGTATGGAACAAAACATTTCTGTTATTTTCTGGTCTATTCCTATGAGTTACCATTACCATTCAAAGTGATCAAACGATAACAAACTATCAAGATTCAATAACAATAGTTAAGCACTCTTACATGTTTGATCAATATTGTTATGAGAGTTCAGTAGCAGCAAGGAGAGAAGAACAAGTTCTCTACTTTTCACTTGGGAGAGTTAGACACATCTTGGACATGAAGATCATTTCTTAGATGGGGTGTGTAGGGATTTGGGGGGAAAGGGACAAGTGTGTATTCATGAGTAACTATCTGTACTGTCCATTCAGTAATAAAAGACAGCAGACATATTACACAGACCAGTAATGACAGTTAAGCTTTCGTAAGAAAATATTTAGCACCAGAGTCATATTTCCATGTGTCTATGCTAGACTAGTTATGTGTGTTTGATGTTCTGTTATTAGAGGAAACTTATAAACTAATTTCAACACCAGACAAGCAATAAATAAAGAAAACTGATTGTATAATGTAGCACTTCAAAAAACAGGAATATCTGAACTACACTTCTAACAGGAAAACCAAAGATCAGTACTTTTTTGAACTTCATTTTGTAAGAAACTTAAAAAAGGTAAATAAACATGTAAGACTACGGTCTAAAATAATCTAGAGAACTACTGTTCCTTTGTGTTTGTTTAACCCCATGAATTGCATAGACTCTCATGCAGATGTAAGAGAATGCCATAAAGAGTGTAGTTGAATAAGGATATATGAATGCATCTTGATTCTAGACTGCTAAGTACCATTTGCCCAGGAACGTCTGTTAAAGCATTCAAGAATAAGAGTGACTTCTCTACAGTCAGTGTGTGTGTTTACTGTTTTTTTTATATGAATGTCACAAGTAACATACAAGGTTGCATTTGATGTCTTATCAACTCTTCTCAACTGTAGTATCTTTTACATGCAACCAACAGAATAGATGGTATGTGTCATAACTTTGTCAAACAGTATGTTGCATTTTCACTTGTTTAAAGATTGTTGAATAGAAAAATTTGCTTTCCTTACCCATTTCAGACATCTCTGGCACAGTAACAATGTATGGTCCATCTGTAAATTTTGGTGCGTTGTCGTTGATATCCTGGACTTTGATAATAAATTCAGATTCAGGCTCAAGTGGCTTGTTTGTCCGTCTGTCAATAGCTTGGGCATGAAGCACATAGTGTGTCTTCTGCTCTCGATCCAGGCTTTTGGTTGAATGGATGTCTCCAGTTGTGTCATCAATAATAAATATAGTCCCCGCCCCTTCACCAGTAAGAATGTATTTGACTGATCCATCACCTTTGTCGGAATTGGAGTGAAGCTGTAGAATATATACACATAAAATCATATAAAATTATATATTAAGTTTCAAAAAAAGTTATTGCACATAAGATACAAAAACTATAATATTACTGTTAGGACAGTTCTACTTAGTTTTTAACCTTCCCACCTCTTGCCATAATTCCTCAAGGTCCCTTCCAACCCAAACCATTCTATGATTTAATGATTCCATGTTTCTATGATTTCTGTCAAGTAAATCGTTTTGTTCAGCATCATTTTCACTCAACATAGTTCATTTTTTAAAGCTGGGATATCTTGGGTTCCATGTCCATTCTAGAATATTCCAGTAACTGGGGTGGTTTTTATTTTAGTTTCATTTGGTTTTATTCCTTCTAGTAGTTATCTTACAGCACTCATTGAAAAAGCCACGCTGAGGATTGCTTTTCTCACTCTCTCCTTGTACCTTTTTTTGCTAGGTCTTTGTCTTGCCTTTAATATTATCTAGCTTGTTATTTGTAAAAGGAATAAGCATATGAGCCTTGATGACATTTTACATGTCATGTATTAAATTTATAAAATTATGGTGTTATACATAATTTATATCTTGTCCTGAAGTGGGGTTTGGGAGGGGGAAGACAAATAAAACTAAGACTGTCAGCTCATATAAGCTTCAGCCTAACTTTAGTCAATGTACCATATACTTATCTGGGCCACAAGATTTGACTGAATAACCAAAACAAAACTGGGCCACCAATATGGATCCTTTTTTCTTTTTTTTTTTTTTTTTAATTTTGAAAATGGAAGAAAGAAGGAGCAAGGAAAGGGTCTATTTGTTTGGCTTTGCCTTTATAGGAGAACAGGACAGTCTTACACCTTTAGAGTCATGATGGGCAAAATCCTGGTTACATCTCTTCTTATCATCAGAATAATACTGTATTATATTAACAAAAGAATAATTCACCTAATGTAAAATTCCAGGGTACCAAACTTCCTATAAAGTCAAAATGTTCTCTGAAGTGATTTATTCCTAAAAACAAGAATAGTAGCTATTCTGATATTCTAACTCTGGTTTGCCGGAACCCTAATTTTTCAGAAACAATCAAAATTATTTTTCTCTTGATGCAGGTTCCTTTTTTGATAAAATGATTCCTAAGTGTTAGTTGGCCCAAGCAGAAAAATATCAAGGCTTCTCTCAAATGCTTATTTGCAATATATGTTGTGCTTAAGAGAGCCCCTGGGAATCCCTGCTTAAGACAATGCCTACCAGATTAATGAGAGATTAACGTCCCTGAGCGCAGCACACTTCTTTCTTTTCCCTGAATACTAGGAAATCATCTCCACAACAGGTGGTTTATTCCACAAAAGTATTTGTAATTAAAATAAATGTGATTCACTGTTTAGGTTAATAATACATGATTTGGGAGACAGTATTTCTGCAGCTATGTCTATGATGATTTATAAAAGACAGCACGGGAGCAAAATCTAGCTGGACATTAGTCATCTCTCTCTCCACTTGAAGCTGCTGTAACTATTTCTCTTTCAGATTAATTTGACAGAGAGGGGGATACCGCCAAGCAATGCAGACTCAAGCCAAACCATGTTCTGTTCACCAGTTCACACCTAACTTGTGTGATCCGGGGAAGTCATCTCAACCCAGATCCCTAGAAAGGGTGCAGACATTTCATTTCAATGAGATGCCACCACCTCCACCAATGACTACTACAAGAACACGTATACACTAGAGGATGAGACATTCACATGCTGTAGTAATGTGAATAAGTAGCTTAGATAAACACAAATTGTGGTGCTATTTTTCCCCTGCTGTGCCAGTCAGAGACAGAATGTCAGAACGTTGCAGGAGTCTCTTAATATAAAAAGAGACTAAATTTAAAAAGAAATACAAATGCATCGCAACCTGAAACATGATTACTCATAATGCTGAGATGAGTAATGAGCATTGAAAAGAAATACAAGGGAAATATGCCAAACACTGGAACACAGCTCTCTGATTTCTGTATCAGAGGTTTCAACTATGACTATGAAAATATTACTGAAAATGTCTTTCAATACCTCTTAGTTCCTGTGATAGTCCACCTCATCTGATGATTATATATTAACCTGTGGTATTAACTTTTTAACTACTACCTGAAGCTTTTTTATTTCCTTCTTAAATCGCTTCAACTTGCTTCCCTAAGCAATCTCGCCTTAGACCCCAAACCCTATTCTAAAAATGACTTTGCAGACCAACAGTTTGCCTAGTTAACCACTAGAGACTAGTATAGCTTGCACTCACCCCTTTGCCCTCCCTAGCCCCCCAGGGCTCCCCCCGCCCTGCCCACAACTCAGGACCTCATTGCAGCCCTCGCTGCAGCAGGGCCGCTCTCCAGCTCCCCACAGCCCTGCCCTGGCCATGGGCCCCGCTGAGCCGGGCCCACCTGCAGGGCCATGGCCCAGCCTGTCCTTGGCCTGGTCCCATCCCAAGGGAGGTGCCCAATGCCTGGGGCTGAAGCTGCCCCAGGGGTCCCTGGCTGCCCTGCTCCAGGCTGGCCCCCCTGCTGCCCCAGCCCCAGGGATCTGCCCCACCCTGCTGGCCCCTGACAGCACTGTCTCCAATCCTCAAATTCTAGCCAGTGCAGGCTTTTGAATTTCTTGTGGAAATGTGGTTTCTATTCTAAGGGATGGGCTGGCTTCTGAAAACATTAGTTATCACTGCTGATTTGGTTATGCTCCTAACGAGAATGTATCTATTAAATATTCTGAATCTGTCCACAACCAGAGGCTGCCAGAAAGTATTTAATTTTCATCCCCTGTTGGGCATTATTCCTGTCTTTATTCATCTGAATTTTTACAGAAAGAAGAAACCAAAAATAATAGCAGAAGAGCATATCTGGAATGTCACCTTTATCAGCCCAGTGGGCCCCACTTCTTGACATATTTAATAACAGGTTGGATTCAGGGTGATTTATGACAGTTCCTCAATCTTTCACTAGCCTATATCAGCAGTGTATGACTGATTTAGCAGAATAGCAAGCAAAGTGTCCTTGTTTTGCTAAGACTTAAACATTTTTCTTCCATCAGCCCATTTAAATGCTTGATTTTATTTAAGTATTCCTGCACATACTGCAGAAGGGATACATTTTCCAATGGCATGACTTGAAGAGGTACACCAAACTTTTCAGTTAATGAGTGCTCTTTATATTCTTGTATTACTTTTGATACTATGAGTTTTTAAATACTTACAATTTGATGAACCAGCATATTAACCGCTGTAAAATGAATGCACAGATTGTAGGCTTATTGCCCAGCCAATACAGTATTGTTAGTGCTAGTAGCTGCAAAGTGATCAGGTAGCTAAAGCCTAATTGCAAAACCAAATGATCAGGTGGCTACTGCTTAGCTCCAGGACTTATTCACCATCCTTCATCTTCATACATCTTTTACTTAATTGTTTTAGCTAATGCTTAGCCACATCATACATCTAAACATTTACGTATACATATTCCTCAAAAGTCAAGCACATGACCACAAACAGGCAGAAACGACTGGACAGTACAGAAGTCGAGCTCAACAGGAAAGAAGCACACCAATAAGTACTACAAAATCAATCAAAAAATTGAGGAGGAAGCCAACACCCTGCTCCTGCTGGGAATGTGGGATGCTAACAACTCACAGTGACCATCACACACTCCCCTGCGCTTGCCTAAGGAAGACAAGCCAGGACCAGGAAACCATGAATGACTGGAAGAACAAGAAAGAAGCCTGGATAAGGTGGCAGTTGTAAAGTGGAAGAGTTGTCTAGTAGTGATTTAATTGTACGACTGCTTCACCCTGTTTGCTTTATTGAACAATTTGGATTCTTGGTGTGTTGTGTGGGTGGCATTTTAAGTGGACTAGTAACGACTTTTACAATATTTTAATTGGACTACCAATAAATTCTTGGCTTTGGATACAAGATATGTGCTGTTCTGTTGAAACAAATTTTTGTGAAGAGATTCCCATACACATACTAAATTCAAATTTAAAGCTGATTTGAAAAAATCAATAACTGTTGCACTAACCTAATGAATTTAATCAGAGTAGAAGTGGTTATCTACATACAAATAAATTATTTTGAAACAACTGCATAGAATTCACTTAAAACTTACTCTTGACAAGTAACAAACTATAAAAATAATACGCACAGAATTCCAAAAGCAAAACCTGAATTCTGGTAGTGACATCACCATTATATCTTTTGAATAAAGTATTGTCTTCTGGTTAAGGAGCACCATGTTCCTTCAAGAAGAGCAGCAGAACCTCCCCTTCTCAATTCCATTGTCACTGCCAATCAGTTAAACAGACATCAAGAGGGCCCCAGCACAACACTGCCACAGCAAAGTCTACCAATGTATGCCCAACCTAGAGGAATGACAAAACTATTCCCAAAAAACATGAGCTACAAGCTTTAGCAAAGCACAGGAGAATATATTAAAAAAGAACATATGCATGTTACTTTACTTTTGTTACGCAGAACTATTTAATGCTTCACTAAAAATATCAAAATGTAGGTATGTATAAAAAACTAACGGTACAACATGAAAGCACTGAGTACAAAATATTTTAATCTTCTCTCTAATAAGAGCTGCAATCATGTTGACTTCCTTTGATGTTTATGTAGACACAACATGTAATTTAAAATAAATGATACAATAACTTAGTAGTAAAAACCGCATATAAAATTATTCTGAATAGTGCACACTGCAAAATCAGAGTCTAATTGATACTGATGAAATGTTCATTGTGCCTATGCAGTAAAAACATCCCCAGATTTGCCGCAGACTTGCTTCCTTTGGTCTGAGCTATAAAATATGTTTTAATGAAATATACTGCTCTGGGCAATGTCACACCTTTTGATAGAATTCTCAGAGGGAATCGTTAGCCTGGGAGATAACTGTATTATCCATAGCAGTGTCCACAAATCGAGAAGAAGCTATTCCACACCCTTGTCAAACAGAGGAAGAAAATACAAAATTGCAATTGCCCCCATCTGCTGAATGGGTT